TGCAGCTGCTCGGCCATGGAAACCCATTCCATGAAGCTCTCTACGCACTGTTGTTGTGCCAATCTGAAGGCCACATGGAGTTTGGAGGTCTGTAGCTATTGGCTCTGCAGACAGTTGGCGACTTCTGTGCACTGTGCGCTTCATCATGCGCTGACCCCGCTCTGTCATGTGACGTGGCCTACCACTTCCTGGCTGAGTTGCTGTTGTTCCCGGTCGCTTCCACTTTGTTATAATCCCAGTAACAGGTGACCGCGGAGGAATATTTAGTAGCCAGGAAATGTCACGGACGGACTTATTGCACAGGTGACAACCTATCACGGCACCACGCTTGTAGTCACTGAGCTCCTGAGAGCGATCCGTTCTCTCACCAATGTCTGTAGAAGCGTCTGCATGCCGAGGTGCCTCGTCCTATACACCGGGGGCCATGGAGGGGATTGGAACACCTGAATCACATGATTTGGAGGGGGAGGGGCCCAATACTTTTGATAATATAGTGTATATGCTGCTGTGTGACTTTGCCAAAAGGGGAAGTTGTATATCTCCTGATATGGGTAGAGCACACTAGTTGTCAATTTTTATATGTTAAAACATCTAAGCCGGGGTCATGGAAAAGCAGAAAAAGGAATCACATATGTGTACATACAAATTACCAACACATTTAAAAAAAAAAAAAAGCTGAAACTTCACGTAGAAACCTTTTTTCAGGTCAGTGTTTTAATGTGCATTACCCCAGTTCCACCACAGTGCGGCACTCATGCGCTCTCTAACTGTGACAGGAACTCTTTATAATCATATCAAAGCTCTCTCTGGTTTTTCAAAGTCCGCTCTGAAATGTAAAAACTGATGGAGACACAGACAGCAATGAAAACTGTTCCTTTCCCACTCCATCCAAAGACTCTGGCTGGAGTTCTGCTTTAGGCTGCATGCTACAAGCAAGAAGTGTCAGGAGCAGGTCCAGTGTAGAGATCTGAGTGTTAAAGCTTTGTGTGAATTAGGTTAGGTTCCCAAAGCTATTTCGGCATTCTTAATCTCCCCCAGCATATCCTATGACCCCCACACTCCTCTTGTACATCCTGTGACCCCCACACTCCTCCTGTATATCCTCTGACCCCCTCACACTCCTCCTGTACATCCTGTGCCCCCCACACTCCTCCTGTACATCCTGTGACCCCACACACTCCTCCTGTACATCCTGTGACCCCACACACTCCTTGTACATCCT